CTCTTCAAATCATTTGGATCCAACCGCTGCATAACTCCTTTGGATTTACAGGCCACCACTAAAGAGTTAACCAAACTTGTTGGATAATCCACCTTAGCAATTATCCTTTGTTTTCTAAACATTTTAGGGTTTTTCTGACTCGATCTCTCAAAGGAAATGGTATGCTTCTAGTTGGATGCACCGCTGGTTTCACATTCTGATTAATTTCAATGTGTACACAGCCCTTCAATTTTCCAATCCCCTCAACTAGGTCAGTGTCTATAGTATTTACTGTACTAATTCTTACGGCACACATGCTGCCAGTCCAAGCAATGGTGATGGATATGGTGTGTTCACTACTTCAAACGTTAAATTATATTTAATACTTTTATAAGAGCAAGGCAAAGTACACTTACCCACTACAAGCAGATGTTCAACAGAATAAGTAGTGAGTTTTTTCATAGAGGGCTCCACATGGATTCCAAGTTGATGAGCCATTCTTTCACATAACACAATTAGTCTGTGGGACAGACCCCTCTACCGTGCACCTCCCCTCCCCCACATCCCTATAAATTGCATATCGTTGTGTTACTTGTAAGTATTTACTTAAAAAAAACCAATCTTCCCACAAAAACAAAGTGAATGCACTGCTCCAAAATGGCATCCAAACATGGCAGACTGACGACTTTGACTTTAGTTGTTTTTTCGGTCACTGAGAATCAGCATTTTCCTTTATTTCCTTATAGTAGTTTTTTTACTAAATATGGATAGTCAGAGAATAATAAAATCTGAAAAAATAATTGGTTTAGGCCATAAAAAAACACCAGTAAAGTCAATACTTAGAAGTTGAAAATCAAGCGTCATTTGTAATTAAATGACCAACAATAACGAAAAACGTGCTGAAATAAAACATCTGGAGAATATATTTCTCTTTTTAAAACAATGATAATTTTATTAAATATTTAAGGATGTTCCATAAAAAATGCACTTAAGCAGTAGAAAAGTGCCTACAGACCTCTATCACACCATTCAGTACTCATAAATGGCTTAGTTTTAGTGCTATAATAACATCTTTGGTACATTATATTGATTATATTAATGAACAAGTATTAAACAATAATTTAACTGTAAAAAAAATTAAACAATTTTTTTCTTTTAATCTAACTTCCTTTATTCTACACAGAGGTCTTTTAAGAAGGCCTTTACTATAAAATGATATAATTATAATAATAAAACTTAATTCAAAAATAATTTACTGAATATCTTGAATTTTTTATATAATGTTTGCAAATTAACACTGTTTTGTATATTTACTGATTCTTAGAGGTAACTTAAATTGTATATACTTCCCTGGAAATGAGTCATATTAATACTTGTTGAAGCTGCGAAGAAATATTGTTGATTGCTAGAGCAATATGGATTGAGAAACTCAAGTTACACATTGGGACTGTCTTCACTTTAACGCAGGTTATAGATAAGTCCATCAAGAAAGAAAAATAGCTTTTGATTTGCTTAGTGCCTCACACTTTGGACTGTACTTGTTGGATTTACATCCATAATTGTCTATATATTATTTGGTATTATAAATTTGTAATTGGCTTGTATAAATAACAGGGGGTCCCATGGTCTCATCCTGTCCTACTCCTCTCGATTACGGAGTGCCTTATCTACGAGTGAATTCCAGGTGCTTGACTAAGCACACGACTTCGTCCTCACTTGCTCTTCTGACTTCTAGCAACTCACGGCTGACTGAGAGAGAGAGAGTGGAATTACAGCCCTTCGACTAAACATAAGCAAGACATTGGTTCCAACAATCCGGACGAGTAGGCTTAGACGAGCCAAAGGACAGCGGCGGCATAGGGAGAGAGGCAACAAATTTACAGGCATGAGACTGGCCCCTAGTCCTATTGTATGTTATAATCACCTATTAAACCAACCAACTAAAATTAACTGCCCCTTTAGGAAGATTAATTGGAAATAACAGGATAACAAGTGGTGCCATTCACAAATATTCCTTTCATCAAAATTTTCATTTTTTTTATCTAACAAGAAAAATGCTCCCAGTCATATAACATGTACCGGGCCCCCCAATATTGTACAGTGCTTATACCTAATTGTCTTTCAGAAAAGCTTGTTTTTCTTTCTGATTCCTTCAAAGACCTTTTGCAAATGCACTAACCAGAAGGAGAGCTATTTCCCTATCTCGATAGACCTCTCTATAACCTGCTCCAAAGTGAAGATAGTCCCAATGTGCAACTTAGATGGCAATAGAAAATAAAATGATTTTCACCATCATAAACCATATCATCCACTCGATTCCATATAAACTGCCCCAGTATATGACCCCTTTTTAACAGCATCTTGAAATATTCTGTTCATCTGTCGACTATATATTCGTGTAACCATATAACAGATAATGATCCTTGTTTTCTTTTCCAAGATTTTGGCAATTACTTCATTGTTCTCGTAATGTATTTTTCTAATTTTTGGGTTCAATTTCAAGTTTTCCCTCATTTGATTACCAAGAAGAACATATAACTTCATTTTTACCATAATTCTTTTCGCAGAGAGAATAATGCATTCAATATTAAAATTTCTTATTTTTTTATGATATACCCCAACTTCCGAACAAAATAAAGGAAATAAAAATCAATTTTGTTATCAGTGATAAATGAGTTTTACTAAACAACCCGGCAACTATTCATTATATGTAGTTCAGATAAGATATATATTTTATTTTATAAAACAGGTATTAATATGACTCATTTCCAGGGAAGTATATACAATTTAAATTACCTCTAAGAATCAGAATATATACAAAACAAAGTGTTAAATTGCAAACGTTAAAAAAAAAATTCAAGATATTCAGCAAAGTATTTTTGAACTAAGTTTTATTATTATAATTATATTATTTTTACAATAGAGGCCTTTTTAAACGACCTCCGTATAGAATAAAGGAAGTTGGATTAAAAAAAAATAGTTTAATTTTTTTTTACAATTAAATTATTGCGTTAATACTTGTTCATTAATATAATCAATATAATGTACCAAAAATGTTATAGCACTAAAACTAAGCCATTTATGAGTACTGAATGGTGTGGTAGAGGTCTGTAGGCACCTACGCCAGTACCGCTTTTCTGCTGCTGAAGTGCATTTTTTACGGAACATCCTTAAATATTTAATAAAATTATCATTGTTTTAAAAAGAGAAATATATTCTCCAGATGTTATATTTCAGCAAGTTTTCCATTATTGTCGGTCGTTTAATTACAAACGACACTTCATTTTCAATTTGAAAATTTTTTTGTTAAAAAATTTGAATTTACTGGTGTTTTTTTTATTGCCTAAGCCAATTATTCTTTTATATTTTTTCAGATTTTATTATTCTCTGACTATCCAGCTTTAATAAAACTTCAATTATAACAAAATTAAGCCAAATGCTGATTCTCAGTGACTAAAAAACTAACTAAAGTCTAAGTCGTTAGTCCACCATTTCGGGGAAGTGCGTTCACTTTTTTTAGTGGGAACATTGGCTTTTTTTTAATAAATACTTACAAGGAACACAACGATATGCAATTCATAGGGATGTAGGTGGGGGGGGGGGAGGGGAGGGTGCATTTTAGGGAGGTCTGGCCCAGCGTGTAAATAAACTGTGCACCGGTATCCAAATTAAAAGTCCACAAAGTAGCAACTTAGCCTTCCAGTCTCTTTCAAAATTATCCTCTCACCATATCAATGAAAAAGTCATCACCCTTAGACGGATATCCTTCCTGAACCTCTTTAATCATCCTTGAATTGGTTACACCATTTTTACATTGGAAAGCAAAGTGATTTAGGCCTCTGTATCTTCTACATGACTGTTTGTAAGCAGGACAATTTCCTGTAGGATAGTCGAACTCAGAATAGTTCCATTTTATAATTTTCCGAACAGAAGACTTCCCTTTGGGAACATCATTTTTATCCTTTCTTGTGTAGTGTACAACCATAGCTCCATACATTCACTCATCTTGCTGCCTAGTTGCTACCATTAATTGGCACATTGCAGAACCTGATCCATGTTTAAATTTCATTCCCTCAATATTTTTTCTCTCATCGAACTATCATTAATGCCTGAAATAAAGTGTGCCATTAATAGCCCATTTAATAACTGCCCAAATTCACAAACATTAGCAATTTCCATTAGTCTAACCGTATAATCACTATACGTTTCCGTTTCTAGCTGAGAACAAACAAAAAACTTATATCTTAGGTAAATAATATTCCTTTTGGGAATGAAATAGTCGTTGAGGTGCTTAATTATATCTTTTAGGGTTTTAACTTAATGGGTAAATTGTTCAAAATTTGTATTTTTCTTTCACCTGTTATATGTTTAAAAATAGCACACTTACACATTTTTTCAAACTATTCCCTCCAATTGCTTTGATATAAATTTCATACCTTTCTTTAAATTCAGTCCACTCTTGAGCTGGATCATCATTCAAATTCATGCGTCTTGAAGTTAGCATAAATGACTCCATTATTCATATTACAACTAATATAGTATACAATATTATCCTTCGTTCATCCAAAGCGCCATGTTATGTATGTTTCTTTAATTTAGTAATAGTCATAAAGAATTTTATTAAGTGTCTTTATTGATAAACTCACTACATATAACATAAACAACTGTAATCTTAATAACATATAATGAACTTCTCAAATATCTTAACAATTATAATTATCCTAATGAAAATCTATCAAATTCAGTAATATAGCTCAAGAGCCGAGTGTGACATTTATGTCAAATCTCTTTGCAAAGTTGTCAAGATGGATAATTTTTTTCATGTTTTAATGCACTTTTTGAATAGGAAAACGTAATCAAAATAAATAATTTTTGAAAAAAATAATTAACGGCTTTGGAGGATTACTGATACTAGAAACTCTACTTATGCTTTATATATACTCATTACATAAAATATAACATTAATTTGTTTTTATCCTTTAAAAAAAAAATGTTCAAGAAATAATTACTGCATTACTTACCATTTTCATCTTGAATGTATGGTTTTAATCCACAAACATGACAAACACAGTCCACCCATTTATTCATATCAGCTTCTGTTTCAGCTGCTAAGTAATAAGTTCTTTTTGGAGTTCGAACATCAAACATGTGACGATATTTATGTTTACTGCTTTCAAATTCAAGTCCAGCATCAACCTAAAAAAATATGCATAAAAATGGTTAACTGGCATGTATTGGATGAGGAAACATGCTCAGACAACAAATATATCAGATTTGACTTGTCTGATAACACCAGAATTTTCTAGAAGTATAGAAACCCAAAATCTACGGAATGGGAAGTGTACCTCTCATACCTAGAAGAGGCATGTAAATGTTGTCCAAAAATTATAAATAACACTTGGCAGCTAGAATGCCTCAATTCATCTTCAACAGATGCTATTAGAAACTCTTATTTGAGCAGTAATGATATTCAAACCAAAGTATTCAAAAGGAGAGTATCCTAGTGGAACAAGCATTTAGAGAGGACACTCACTAGAAGGTTGTTCAATGCTCCTAAAAGATATGGCAATTGGGAGGTTTACAGGACCACCCTTACAGAATATCACCAATCTGTGAGGAAAGCTAAAACACGGTGCTGGAGGAACTTCAACCAAGAAATTGACAACATTCCCTCCTATGGCATGTAGGATAAAGAAAATACTTACTTAACAGAAATAACAAGGATTATTGGCTATACTTAGAGTCAATGGCAAACATACCAGTAATGAGCTTGAAACCCTGAGAGAACTGGCAATAGCACACTTTCCTGGGTGCAAAACTATGGAAAAGGCTTGTATTGACACTACACTTCCTAGCTACACAGCTAATCGAGAAGTGTGGAATAAGGCAAAAAATATTGTTACGGCAAATAGACTGGAACGGGCAGTAAACTCGTCTCCTTATAAATATGCGGTTTGATGATATTTCACCAATACTGATTCAAAAAAGACTTTCAATAATTAAACCCTATCTCATAGTTATTAAGGGGCAGCATAGCGTTCGGTTACCTGAGTGGAGAGGATCCAAACTGTGTTTTATACCACAACCTGGAAAGGGATCGTAAGACAATCTTAAGTCATTCAGGCCAATATTTATGTCGTCTTTTCTAATGAAGACACCAGAAAAAATTTTGGACAGGCATATAAGAGAACAATTAGTGAACTCAAATTCCTTACACTTTAATCCATTAGCGTACCAAACTGGGAAATTATACGAAGCTGTAACACATAATCTGGTTTCAAGGATTGAAAAATCCATTAATCAGAAGGAAATAATGATTGGTAGCTTTGTGGATACAGAAGGTGCCTTCAATAGGAATCCTTATAAAACCATTATGGATAATGTAAGGACAAGAAAAATAGATCCACTTGTTACCAAATGGATTGGTAACAAGCTGGATACAAGAATTCTTAAAACTGAACTAGGACACACCGTAATGTGGATTAAACCTGGTGGAAGTTTTCCATAGGGAGGTGTGCTTTCCCCAATACTGTGGTGCTTGGTGGTGGTCTCTTAGCTCTTAAAACTAAATACTGTATGCTTTTATGCACAAGAATATACAGATAGCATCGCTATTGTTATAGTCGGAAAACATCAGAATGTTCTTTCTGACCTGTTGAGGACTGTGACAGGAGTCTTGGAGAGATGGCACCAGGCTAGTGGACTGAGTGTCAACCCAGCCAAGATAACAGTTTGCATCTTCACAATTAAGTAAAAGGTAGAAGTAAGATTATCTGAAATAAATAACATCCAGCTAACATTAATTAAGGAGGTCAAACACTAAGGTGTTACGCTGGACAATAAAATGTTGTGGAATAGATATATGGAGCACACAACTAATAAAGCACTAAAATGCCTTTGGGCATTTAAGAATGCTGTTGGGGAGGCATGGAGGCTTAAACCTCAGATGGTCTACTACTGGCTGTATGTCACAGAGGATAGACCTGTGCTTTTATATTCAACTGTTGTTTGGTGGCATAGGGCAAGAGTAGGCCACAACAGGATACAATTGGAAAAATTACAGAATTACCTGTTTAATGATAACAGGTGCAATTAAAACTACTCCAACTGCAGCCATGGAGGTAATGTTAGGTCTATATTACCTCTGCAATTGGAGATAGAAAAGCAGGGATTGAAAATTTTTTGCAGGCTACACTAAACTCATGTCCAAAGATAAACACCCATAAGGGACATTGGAAAATAAATTGAAGAAGACAGGATGCTTACAATGCACTCTGACACTCAGACTAGAGAATTTCTTACAAAGACAGGCCAGGAGACCATAAACATATTAATAGGATTAATTGTTATAATGGTGGGTCACTAATGACATGCGGTTCTGGTGCTGGCTTTTGGAGAAAGGATGAACCAGAGGAAGGCATGTCAATACCACTCGGCCAATATGCAACAGTTCCAATCTGAAATACTGTCTATAACTCACTGTGCCTCAAAACTGTTGCTTGATGGGGTAGTGGGGAGGAAAATTTCCATATATAATGACAGTCAAGCAGCAATTCTCAATGACTTATCTAGACTCAATAAGGTAAACATTGAATGGGTTCCGGGTCACTCTGGAATTCATGGTAATGAGATGACAGATGAGCTAGTCACGACTAGGCTCTCAAGCGATTCCCGTAGCTCTTGAACCCATCTGTGGAATTAGTCTGTGTCTAATAAATAACAGGACTGGGGATATTTATGGTGCTGAAGCTAAAAAAATACTGGTGCTTGAAAAAATAGACTCACTCTAGATTATTCCTGGAAGAAATCTGTCCGAAAAAAAGAAGCAACCAACTAATTAATTTGAGCAGCAGCTCATTTATCAAAATTACAGCGGTATATACTGGACACTGAAAACTGAATTATCATATGTTCAATCTCCGGCTAATGGAGTCGTCTCTATGTAGGTACTGTGGCCAGGAGGATGAAACAGCTTATCATATCACTTGTTGGTGTGAAGGTTTGCTGGACTGAGATTCCGATTATTCAGCATTGATAGGGTGATTGATCCCAAGACAAATGAGCTCATCAACCCAACAAGCTTAATCCAGTTCACTGAGACTGCAGGAATTAAGCTCTAAACAATAAGAGTGAATTTATACATACTTTGACAATGTCAAATTAGAAAGGCATAAGCATCAAAACGAAGAAATTAAGATTTTTAGATATTTCATGCTAGGTTTGCATGAGGAGAATATTAATCAATTATGTTGTTTCCTTGGAAATATTATTTAGAAACAATAAATCCTGTCTACCTACGTGGAAAGGAGAAGGGAGGCAAGAGGTATGAGGAAATTTAAGTTTTTGAACTTAGGATAGCACTTTTTATCAGAGGTTGAAATTTTTATGAACTTTTTAAAGAGTTTCATTTTAACATTATCAGTGAAACATTTAAGGAAATTTTTTTTTTTTTAATTAAAGTCCTAAAATAATTTTTAAAAATTAATTTCTTGGTTTATGGTAAAAGTTTAACTTCTATTTATATAAGTTCTTAAAAAAATTACATTAAATGAGAAATTCACAGTCATTTATTTTAAATGAATTATCTGATTTTTAAGAGTCTTTTAGTAGCTAAAAATATACTGCTCTATTACCATTTTTTAGATTGACTTTTTGGCGAAATGCATTGTTTCAATAGAACTTTTAACCAAACTTTTTTTTTATACAAATGTTCAGTAAAATCTTAACCAGAAAATTAGAAAGAGGAAGTTCTAGTTCCAAAATAACAGAAAATAAAAAAGATATATTTCATAGTTGGCGATCCGTGAGGAATGACAACACATCAAGCAAATTAAAAGATATTAAATTGTCAGTAAAGCTATGGTCAACATCGGATCGTAATATTCACAGAGAGGAGGTTGTAATAACGAGACTGAGAAGAGGTACATACAAATCTGACTCATTCTAATCTCATTAACAAATAGCCACCACCAAAATGTCAACACTAATAATACACTTACAGTCTGCCATATTTTACAAGATTGTCCATTTTACATTTCAAAACTAACTAGATTAGGATTCACACCCCTACTAACATTCTAAAAAATATTTAACATACAATAAAGCTAGTGTTGAATTTAAATTATTAAATATAGTAATTAAAGTTAATGAGTTTTTATGTCTTAAAGCCCTAAAAAAAAACAACAACAATCAAGCATAAAATACTAATGGAAATGATATGTCATAATATGTTAAATGAACTAATACGTATTAAAGTTTGGTCAAAATCAATAAGAAAAAAAAAATAATTACCTGATCACATTGATCTAAATCTATTTGTCCTTTCAGAGTTCTACAATTTCTATCAGTGTAATAATACAAATAATATTGACCAGGAAGTTCTCCAGAATGTCTTAAAACAAACCATCGTTTTCTCCATCTCTGCAAGAAACATTTATCTTTAATATTAGAGCCAAAGATGAATTATAAAACATTCATTGAATATTATTAAAAATTAATAAAACACAAAGCTAATTAACATAATAATTATAGGTAAATTTGAGATTTATTATTTATTTGAGATAAATACAAATTTTATACATGACATCATCTGCTTTTTGTTTTAGTAATTGCTAGTCTAAACTGAATACTGAAATAAATTACATCGTAAACCACATATGAAAATAAAATATAATAGCTACATTGTTTGGCCAACATCTAAAACAATTTAAAAAACATAAATGTAACCTTATCACTAATAACAAATTAAAAACACTTCAGTATATACAAATCCAACTATAATGATTTCAAATTACATAAACATAACACATGTATGCAAACAAGCTCAACAACAGTAAACTGTACTCTATTTGTAAGTAATACAACCCTACTCCTACCACTGAAGAAATATAAGTAAATTATCACTGAGGATGAGACCAATGGATTTAAATGAAGAGATCCACAGCAGTAAGACACTACTGGTACTGGTGAAGGACCTAGTCTGGCAAGTGGGCCACATGGTCCTTTTAACCAAACCCTGACGGCTATCATTAGGTTGTCGCCCCATACTTGACTGAGTGGGAACGTCAAAATTCATTTCTCAGGGTCAAATCCGTCGAGAAATGAAAATAACAGACCCAGGTGGGAAACGAACCCACTACATTCAGAACAGGGCACTCTGGGCCCCCCCCCCAACGTGTTTGGCCATATCGTCCTCTGTAATAAAATAAATAATAAAACTAATAAAAGGTTGTAAAAATAATTGTCTAAATGTTTTTAAAATACAATTTAAAAAAATTAAGTAATCTAAAGAACAGTTTCAAGAAGAGCAAAAAACAGAGTATTTAAGGAGCATAGTCAGCAAACATTACTCCTATACAAAGAGGAGGGGAAAACAAACTATAATGGAAGGAAATGATTTAGAACTAATATTTAAAACAGCCTAGAAGCAAAAAATGCAATGAAAAGTTATAATTATATAACAAATATTTTTTCTATCCAATTAATTTAATAAATATGAAATATCCAGTTAATTTATTGAGATTTAATAAATATACACAAAAAACAGGAGAGGCAAGTGTGTATTACAGCCTAGGCCAAAAGTATTAGGCGCCCACATATTTTATTAAAACAAAGGAAAGGGGGGTACACATAACATCTTTCATAACATAAATTTATTTAAATATAAAAAAGTTAAATTCATATTTTGTCATCAAGCATTTGGCATTAATGACCTCACTTTTAGTTTTTAGTATAGAATTAACAAGTATTGTACAATCTTCTTTGTCTATTTTTTCTCACTCTTTTAAAAATGAAAACAAGATCAGGATTTTTTTACTATGAGTCTCTATTATATTTTTTTACAACTTTATTTGCAGAGTAGCTTTCGGTGTCAGTGCATCATATTCATCTCTATAATTATAACATATCAATTATGATAAATTAACAAAATTAACAATTCATTTGTTACATATTTTTTTAATTATCACATCATGATAAACCTTTTTTTTTTAAGAAATAATCCTTTTGATGTTAAAAAATGCAATAGATTTTAAAAACGAAATAAATTCCCTAAATTTTATAAAATATGGTTTTTGATGTTCAGTTGTGATTTTTTTTTTTTAAGTTCTTTCCTACCTCACCTTACTGGCTAAATGGGATTTTCCTGGGCCGGAGGGTGAGGGCGTGGAATTTAAAATCCCCTCCGGCACCGGGATGCGAACTCATACTTTTTTAATTTCATAACTTCGGTTATCTGGTTGCCAAGCAACTCGGGGTGCTGTGCACACGTGTTAGCCAACCCGCCCTCCAAGTGTTCAGTTATGATGTAAAATCACTTTTTACTAACACACCATTAATAATGGTCTACAAACTAATATCTGAAAACTGGGATAGGATTGAACCACAAACCCCAATAAAAAGAAGGACGATGTTTCTTGAAGGAATCAGACTCTACACCGAAAATGGATATTTTTCTTTACGAAACCCACAAGCAAATTTTTGGTCTCCCGATGGGCGATTGTAATATGTAAATCTATGAGGTATAGTCCTGAGTTATATTCTCGAAAAAGCATTAAAAGAAATGAATGTAAAGCCCTTATTAATCATAAAATACATTGACGACCTATTTGTCATTCTTAAACTCGAAGAGCATTCTATATTGGTCGATAACCTTAATTCAATCCATCCAAAAATAGAATTAACATATGAAATAGAAAATAACAATAGTATAAATTATCTGGATATGACCATAGTTAAAAAGGAACAAAAATTATATTCTAAATGATATAGAAAATCAATGACATCAAAAAATATCCTCAATTTCTATTCTAATCACCCTAAAATGCAAATCATTAATGTAGGTAACAATTTGGTATAATAAAAGCAATTAAAATATTTGAAAGAAATTAAGCAACAAATATTATAAAAAATAGTTTCTACCACAATAAATTAATAACAAAATTATGGTATAAAGCAGTAAATAAACAAAAGGAATCACCAATAGCATGAAATAGATTTCGAAAATATTAAAATACTTCATAAATCAAACTACCGATCAAAGCTAAAAATTTTAGAACCCATCTATATAGTAATAGTGATAAACCAAAAAAATGTGATAAATTAAAAACAGGAAGCGGCCCACATCCCACAATACTATTCACATATAATAGCCATTCATAAAAATTTAAATAATAGTGAATTAAATAAAATAGGGTAACTTTAGTTGTCAAATAGTTTCGATAATATAGAGGGTGCTGACAGTAACACTCAGTAAGATAGTGCCAGACAAAGAGGAGTCCTATTCTTGGATAAGTCAGTATATACATTTTTTTAAAAATTATTTATACATTTAAACAAAAAATTTTAACCTAAAATTCTTTCAGAGTTGACACGAAACGAAGAACAAGAACACTGTTCTAATCTCTCAAGTTTTTAAATAGAGAAAAATAGAAAAAGGTATGGCATTGATGTGATAATAATTGCATGACAATAAAAAAATTATGTAATACATAAATTGTTAATGTAATTAATTAATTTTTAATTTATCACAATTTATGCATTATAATTATAGAGATGAATATGGTGCACGGAAAGCGAAAGCTACTCTGCAAATAAGGTTGTCAAAAAATATAATAGACACTGCCAATGGTAAAAAAATCCTTCTTTTATAAGAACATATAAAACAGTCCAAAATTACCTAATATATAAAATAAGTTGTCTTTCTTTGTAGGATTACGTTTACCAACAGCAATTTTTTATTAATTTTAACAATAATTTAATTTTTAATTTATCCCATAAGTGCTCAATCGGATTGAGGTCTGGGACTAAGGAGCCAGTCAAGTACCTTAGTATTATTAATTTCAAACCATTCTTTACTTTTTCATGAAACTTGACATGGAGCATTATCCTGTTGAAAAATGATGTTTTCTTTGTCATCAGGTACAAATCATTTTTCAAATAAACGCTTCAAAGTTTGATTTAGCATTGATATGTTGATACCACTATTACTCCTTCACATAAAAACACTTATCCATCAACCGAAGCCCCCATACAACCCCAGATCATTATATTCTTCCCACCATGTTTGACAGTAGAGAAAACACAATCTGGGTAAAAGGCTTCGCCTCCTTCTTGTGACAACGGCACCAAGAATTCCAAAAATCTGTACAAAATTTGATACTTTAATGAATTTATAAAAATAACTCTTTCTGTGCATATTACATGAACTTTATGGAGTTTTTGCTATTTTACATTCCATGTATTATAATTTATTTACCTCAAAGTTGCTTTCATCAGACCAAACCCCGCTTTTGCCCAATATTGAGCACTCCAGTTTTGGTGAAATTTTGCCCAGTTAAGCCTCTTCTTGCAATTGGCTTCACTAAGCCATGCTTCTTTCAGACACTTCTCTATCAGTCTTCTTCTTACTACTCTGGCAGAAATATCAACAGAATACAAGGTTTTCATCTCTTCAGCCTGCTTTTATTATATTTTATTGCGATTTTAAAGAGATGTTCTTACCAAAACCATTACCTGACATGCTTCTGTTATTTTCTTTCTTTCTGTCCTTGGTAGTGCAGAAAATGTGTTAAACGTCCAGTGTCAAATAAGTAAATATTGAACGGCACAACAATAGCACTTCATACTTTTAACTATCTCAGATTGGATATATCCTACCGATGACATAAAAACTATCTTTGCCCATTCAGTCTCAGTCAATTCTTTTACCATTACCATTTTTAATTTTAAAAAAGTGTAAAATATAAATTTTTTTATACTAAAAACTATTAAAATAAAACCAAAACTTTCACTATTATCATAAAGTGAGCTAACACTGTACTGAGAACGTTTATTTACATTATATTGTCTTTTTCAACAGTATTAACAAGGAGGCAGGGGTAATAGGAAATAGGGTTAATAGGAATATAATCCATATAAGGGACCCATTTTTGTAAACACAACAAGTTATGGAAACAGTAGCGAATAAAGAATTATCTATTAATATGAAATAGAAAATTTTGACTGTTGCCTAACAGTTTTGGCCAAGGCTGTAAGTAAACTTGGATTAACTTCCCATTTTTCCCGTTGCCATGTAGAGCTTCTTAAGATGGAATTATATGCAGATTTTAAAATAAATGAAAAGGATCCACATAATTTTGATGAGTTTTTTCATCTCTTCCATTAATTGTCAGAAGGAGAAAATATGGTCAATAATTTCTCCAGACCTGGATCTACACCTGTTGCTTCAGAAGCCTCTTTGGTAATCATCCAACCAAGGTTCTACAATTCCACTATTCAGTTATATAAAATAATGGAAAAACTTTTTAAGATGTGTTCAGCAGGCTGATTCCCAGTAACTATTGCATCCTGTGGAGACGCCTTTCTTCTTAAATAAGGGTACAATAACTTGTTCCTTCCAGCTATCCAGCATCCCAGATATTAACGATTAAATGAGTCAACTTCTCAGCTAGTGTTGTTCTGTCAATCTTTAAAAATTCTGTCTGAAATAATTATTATTGGTTATTATTATTATTATTATTGTTAAATTTGTTTATTATCAGACTAACCTCCTTCGAATCTGGTGGGCTCACTTCACGGTCATTCTCCTCGTATCGAAATTCCATATCAGGATATTCCTCGCCTTCTCTGTGGATTAGCAATTCTTTAAAATACTTCTCCCACCTTCTCTTCCAATAAGACCATATCTACCTCAAAATGCCTTATCAGTGGAGAGTTGTTTATAAAGCCTGATTTTATCCTACTTACTTCACCGAAAAACTTCCTGGCCTCATTGTTTCTGTTAAGCTCTTCCATCTTACACAAGATTATCTTTAAATATATGCATGCTTGATCTTTATGACTACCGGTTTAATTTGAAATGAAGTCTGGTCCTCTAAAAGATCTCACATCATTAACTATATTAAAATGTCTGCTGGAAACCAGAACATGATCTATCTGCATTGCAACTCTATTTGACAAAATCATTGTTTGCTTTTGTTTTTCTTTACGATTGAACACAGTACTCATCGCAAATAATGATCAAGATGCATAATGCTGCTTTCCTTATTTGCTTTGACATTATATAGGTTGTATCAAACTCATGTTTGTTTTCTTGGATAATGTCTTTCACAGTAGAAGATTTCGAAATCCCTTCCACTTTACTTACCAATTAATTTTACCAGTTAATTATAGATTCTTGTTATTAAAAGTATTAATTTCAGAAGAACCTCTGAAATTTAAAAAATGAGAACTGGAAATTAGAATCATATATTTTCATGGTTACATATTTCCTGGGATATACTTTTTTATGGCTTAGCCCTGATGGAGAGCTAAAAATTATGGCAAAACATCGAGCTTATATATTTATAAGTTCTATATTCATATTATACACTTATCAGTGTGTTTTCTTTTAAACTCCCCACCCATGAGTTTTTGATAACATTACCACACAATAATTCTAAATTTATTTATCTTTCTTGCTTTCTTTTTCCTTATCATTAAGTCCAATAAATGTCATAAATTGCCAAAGGAATTGAAATAGGTGGATCACAGGACTATTATTGGTCGTCTTATATAATTTCTACATCTTACAGAAATCATTCAACTGTAATCATTGCAATGTTGCATTAATAGTTATTTTTACTTTCACTTACCTATATATATAATATATAGTAAGGGTAAGTATTGAGATCATTAAATAATCGTTAAAAATCGTTAAATTTTTGAACCTCAGTTATCAACGGAAATACACGTTTTGAGGTCCCTGAGTCCAAATAACCAAGTACCGCAAAATGCTTTGTGTGTGTGAACAGCGTAGCTCAAAAATGAAAAGTCCTATGAAAGTGATATAGCATATTTAAGGTTTGCATATGCACGGGATGTTGCAGCAACTTGTTTGTCAAAATTGGCGAACCGGATCAATTTAACACATTTTTACGATTTCTTCAAAAACGACTCTAACGATTAACTCACTAGGTCAGTGTATTATTAAGTGGTTTTTAAATTAAGGTAGGTTTTATCCCCATTGATACAACCAGACAGGGCTTAATAAAGGCTGTTTTTTTTTTTCAAAACGCCTTTCTCTGAAATACCTTTAATTTTTTTTATTTGAAATAATTAACCATTTCATATTTGAACCTACTATAAAAAATGGTTAAATATAGTGAATGAAGAAAATTGATAGGTAACTAAAGGGGAAATAGGGGTAGGAAGCTATACGGTATAAGTTAAGCAAGAACCTTTGCTGATTCTCTCCCTTTACATATACCAGGTACCCGTCTATACAGGGCTTTCATTTTTTTTTTTTTTCAATTATTTATTATGATATTTATACCTGTATAAAAAAATACACTCAGTAAATTTTATATTGTTCGTTTAACTTTTATCTATCACTTATCCAAAAATTTTTAAAACAGGTTTTCATGCGGAATGTTGAGGATTTACTAATATAAATCATAATATGCAATATTTACTAACGTTAAGATTATTTTTCTGACGTTTCGACATTTATTGTGATAAATGTTTCCAATAAAACTCAGAATTTTTCTAAAAGATCCATTTTCCCCACAATTATTAGTATTGTTTGATACTATACACAGTCGTAAAAGGAGATGGAAAGTGATGAAAACATATAAATTTAACTTATTCGATGGGCGGGAAAAACATGGGAATTAATTGTTTTAAATGAAGTTATACCAACGTTTTCACTTTGTCATCCTAAAAGAAAATACCTACCTACTCTAAGGTTGGTAAATGAAAGTTGTATAATGCGTGCATTGCACCACATTTTTCTAATTAATAAGCACTTAATTCCCCTAAAATACATACTAAAACAGTAACATTTTCTCAACTGCTTATGTAATTTTTAGCTTAGTTCACTGGGCTGACATTTATCTGCTAAGTACATGATGACCAATGGCATTAATAAAGTAATAAAAAAAAAATTGAAAGCTATTTGATTTTTCCTTCAAATACCCATAAGCCCTTAATAAGCAAAATTTGTTATAGCTTATCTCTGAAAATAATAGTTTTCAAAATCCGGTAGTTTGTGGATTTATTATTTGGTCACGTTTGGATGACAGATTGGCAAGCTCTTATATGGAACGCTAAAGTCAGCCGAGTGTTTCAAAACTTTTGCAGGTAAGGCTGGTTTCAGTATTTAATTTAAAGTGTGATTGATAGGATTTTGGACCACCTGTCAACCAAACATGACACTACTACAGCAGTACCCAACATTTTAAATATGTATATATCTTTAAGTGATACAAGGCTCTTTGTTGAACTTCAGGCGTGGAATCATTTTTATAAACATGATATCTTACTTTTTAATGACTAGCAGATACTCCTTAACATGAAGATTGTTTGTTTGATACTTGTTGACAGGTGTTATGATTGTTTTTAAGTAGATTTAACAATACACTTTAAGTCCCTAATTATTATTAATTCTATTAAACAAATTTACTATACATAAATTTAATTTTAGGCAGCCTTTTATCAAAGACAAATTTTGTATGAGAAACTATATGAACTCACTTTCTATAAAAAAAGTCTTGTTAAAAACAATCAAAACAAAAATTAAAATTAATAAACCTTATTGGTTCACCAATATAAATAAGGATAACTTTTATATGGATCTAAAAATATTATACACCTTCTGTACTTCAGATTATGACAAGACAATGTTAAAATACCTATATTTTGTTAGAAGCTTACCAATTTTCATTATGGAAAAAATTGTTGCTTCAAAATTTAAGATATGAACAATTAAAACATAACTTTGACACAGCTTTAAAAAAAATATCTAATGAAGAATTATTACATGTTTGAACTGTCTTTTCCACAAACTTAAGTGATAATAACAATAAGGTTATAAAACATGAAGTCTCCCATGCAATGTTGACATTTAACAATTGTCTAACTAACATTTAACATTAACAAGTTATAACACAAACTTATTCCATAAAGAAATGACAATAGATTGTATTAACAAGTCAGAAGGCATTAGAGCATCCATGAAATCAAATATATCAGACTTATCAAATGAAGAACTTGTGACAATGACAACTCAACTGTTCAAAAATTAAGTGATTAGAGCAAATATAAGTTTATTATTTATAAATACAAAAACGAAACAAAATGGTATAAGATGAACAATGGACTTAAAATAGGAAAGCTTTTAGTGATACACCAATTAATAGATAAGAGATGACTCAAGCTTCACAAGCAGTAACCAATTATATTTTCATTATTTAAAAGCAAAAAGCAAATGTTACATACCGCTCTCCAAATCCTTTTAGAAGGAGGTGACTTAGTTAGCCAACCTTCATGAACTATTTCCAAATTATCAGATTTGTGGGACATTCTTATAACTTCATAATAACACTAAATGGCGAATATCACAGTTTTGTTCATAAAATATTACAAGGCCAACTGGAAAACAATGGTAACTATAAAAAAATACTAAGCACGATAAGTGACATATCAACAACAACGTTTGACACAGTCTGTTTTCTCAATGAGTATAAACTTCCCCCAACTAAGTTAGCTCTGATTCATTTGTCAGTGTAGCCAAAAATAATAAACTAACAAGTTTCTTATAAGAAAAATTATCAATGGTAGGTTTAATCTTAAATTATTTAAAGTTGACTTTAAAATTATTAAAAATGAAATACAAAATATTAAAGTTGGTTTTATCGAAAATGTTTTTACATTTTTTTTTTTTTTATGACTGGTTAAATTTCATTATGGCACAAATTACTATTTTTTCCATTGCAAAATAATTCAATATTTTTTAAAAGTTTTTATAAAATATTCTTGGAAATATATTATATACCTACAATATATTTCTCAAGTTTTTCAAAATCTATAATTGTAAATTAACAATGCTTCATAAACCCTTGAAAATCAACACTGCTGATCAATTATTCACCAAACAAATTTTACAAAAAAAATCTCAGATATTAACAAAAGATTGAATTGGATTTTTTTTAAATACTATCAAGTAAACATGAATTTAATTTAATGGAGCATGGGTCGAATATTTAAATTACGATTATTGTTACTGCATAAGAAATCTAAACTTAAATAAACTTTACTAGGCACAGGCGGATTTACGGAGGGGCTTTCGGGCTGAAGCCCCCTCCCCTCCCCCCTCCCCAAAACGGTAAAATATAACCATGTTTTATAGAAAAAAATATTAAAAACTATCTCTTAAAGTATTATTGTTCGTGTAATTACATTTAATAGGACTTCAAAAATCACTTAAGCACCATTTCATATAGGTAGTTCATTTATTTCTCTTCTTTTTTTTCAAATTAATTATCGTTATATATATGAAAAGAAATCTTTCGGGCTGAAGCCTCCCCCCCCCAACAATTAAATCCTGGATCCGCTAGTGTTACAAGGTGAATATAAATAATTCAAAATAATTGAATACCACTTGTAATAAAAAGAAGATTTAATTAAATCAATATAGATAAAATAACAAATAAAACAGTTCTTTTCATAAAATAAATTAAATAAAAATACTAAGTCCTCCAATCCCTCACACACTAAATGATTAAGAAGAAGAAGTAAGTAAATTTTATTCTGGGACGTTTAGTCCCCTAAGAATAACATACATGTACTCTTACAGTTCTATTCTAAATATACAAATAATATGACGAAATTATAGGTAAATTAATGTTTGTGTGTTTACATATTTTCACAGTATGAAATATAAACAAAAGTTTTGAGTTAACAGTAGAATCAAATTGGTAACATATTTAATTCTTATAAATATTTGGAAAATTGATGGCTGAGATGGAGAAACAATTGGCTTTTAAATGAAGTCAATGATGAGGTTTTGCGTATGGAGGTTGGTAAGGAATTCTAAAACAATGTAGCACGAATTATAAAGGTATTTTTCAAAATAAACTATCTTATGAGAAGGAATATACAGGTGTGTGGGCTGGAATCTGATGTTGAAAGAATAGACAGAGGAACAAGGAGTGAACAAGTAAATAAGGTAAAAAGCTTTTCTGGTTTTAAAGATTCAGAAAAGGAAAACATCAAGGAAATATTGCCTTCGAGAAACTGGATATAGTCACTTAAACTAAGAATACCAACTGGAGACGTGGGAGTGCCTAGGATCTGATGAAACAATTCATTAGCGTTTCCTTCTAACCTTAAGTGCACTAGACAGTCCACTATATTCAAGGCAGTCAAAATCAAAGTTGGGAAAAATAAGAAAGGAAACTAGAAGCTGACGGGTTTTAAAAGGGATAGAATCACGGAATCTCAGAAATTGTTTAAGAGGAGCAATAGATTTTCTGATAATTTGAGAAACATGGTGATCCCAGGGCATGTGTTGATCATAATAATAATAATAAACCCGCAAGGGGCAACTGATAGGTGCAGTTGCTGGGGTTTTACGATCCCCCGGATTCCTGAGTTCAGTACATCATCTACAAATACACACACAACAGTCCACTAAATCATTTACACTAACACTAAGGACACATACAGTACACACCCTAGGGCTACCTCTCCTAGGATGACCTGGCAGCAGATATAAAATGCTTCTACCCATCAAAATGGTTCGAACTAGGAAACAAATAGCCTCGGACGAATATGAAGTAAGGGCTGCTTCGGAGGGATTGGATATTCAGCCTTCGACATCTGCAGGTGGTGCGAGCGGTGCCTCGGTGTCGTATGTTCCCGTAAGACCGGCTGTCATAGGATTCTCAACTTTAAACTCTGAACCGTGCTTGAATACTGTAGAGTCTCCCGCTCGAGGAAGAGGAAGCATTGGCTAAGTAGGTAGGCAACGAAGGATGAAGTGGAACCGCAATATGAATATTGCCGCAATCCGAGCTTACTTATTGGCTAAAACCTTAGAAAAAGAAAAAAACTGGATACCGCAGTAGAATCAACCGTTACTGGAATGAACAATACCCGCAAATAGCGGTTTCATCCCAAAGACTCGCTGACCAGGTAAAGCAAATATTGGAGCGAAAGTTTTTATCAGAGTCAGAAATTATGGCAATCAAAACGGAAGTAGGCAATATACTGGACCAGAATTCGCAAAGAGAAATAGAACAAGTGGAAAATATAGAATCGGCTTCTGCAAATACGCAGTTTGACACGACTTTTATGAACAATCAAGAAACTCCAGAAAGCACAGAATTACGTAGCAAAATGTTAAAAGAGCATATGCTTTATGATGGAATGCCCTTAAATAGCAGACCCAAAATACCTAAGGTACCATACTCAAAAAGAACGTTAAGCATTGTCAGAGCCATCAATGAAATAGTTGCTGAGCATATGTCAGATGGTATAACTTTAGAAAAGATATGCTATTGTGTATACGTGGGAACTCGAAGAGTAACAATGGAAAAGGAGAATCAAGAAAAAGATTGAGGGTTTACGCTGTAAAATTGGAATCATCACTAACTATCTTCGAAACCCTCAGAATGCTTCTTCAAAATTACAGAAGAAAATTGATGAAATTATAGTACTCAACACTGGAGGTGTAGCAAGCAATATATTAAACCAAACTCTTGGTGTTTATATGGAAACCCTTAAACAGAAGTTAGCAGTTTACGCGAACAGGATCAGGAGGTATACTGAAGCTCAAAATAGAAGAAGACAAAATCATATATTTGGTACTAGAGAAAAATGTTTTTATAAGATTATAAAACCTAAAGAGAATGCAAAAAAGATGTCTATCCAGATCATTTAGAAATATCAGAATATTGGAAAGAAATTTGGGAAAGAAAAAAATGTTATAATAGTGATGCACATTGGTTGAAAAATATTCCCTATAGTAAATCAAACCTCCAACCTATGGAAACAACCAGTATTACTGTGGAAGATGTAGCAAAGTCACTTAAACAAATGAAAACTGGAAAACTTCTGGGCCAGACAAAATACAAAATTACTGGATGAAGTATTTCAGCAGTATTCACAATCATCTGGCTTCATGGTATCAAAAACTAATATCGGAAGAGGTAGACCTTCCTGCAAATTTCTGCACAGGCATGACTTATTTAATAAGAAAATCAAATAAGGAAAAATTGGAGCCAAAAGATTTGAGACCTATAACGTGTTTAAATGGCGTGTACAAGCTATTAACGTCTGTCATCAGAAACAAGTTGACTGACTACATTCAAGAAAACGCCATCTTGTCAGTGGAACAGCTAGGTAATAAACCAGGTTCAAGAGGATGGAAAGAACTTCTGTTGATAAATTCGTTTATTGCAGCTCAAGTTTCAAAAAGATCTCGCAATATTGCTTTATCTTGGGTTGATTACCGTAAAGCATTTGATTCCGTTCCACATGATTGGCTTTTAGAAGTTTTGAAGATCTATAAAGTGGACAATACAATAATAGATTTGTTAAAACGTTTAATGCAAATTTGGAAGGCATCACTCTGCACACCAAATTGGAATGGATTAAGTATCAATGAATATATACCTATAAAAAGGGGTATTTTTCAAGGTGACTCCCTTAGTCCTCTTTGGTTCTGTTTGGCGCTCAATCCACTCAGTAAACTACTGGAAGATACAGGTAAGGGATACCACCTCAATTCTGAAACGAAGCTCTCCCATTACCTACCATTACCTCTATATACCATTACCTCATATTATATACCATTACCTCTACCATTACCTCTATATGGATGATCTCAAGCTTTATGCAAGAAATGAAGATGAAATGAGAGCTCTTTTAAAAATAGTAGAGGCGTTCAGCACTGACATAGGAATTGATCTGGGGATAGATAAATGTGGAGTAATGTATGTAGAACGAGGTAGGATTGTTGAAGGAAATGATATAGAACTTTCAGAAGATGTTGTGATTAATCAGATGAGAGAATCTGATTCTTACAAATACCTAGGAATGCATCAACTTCTGAAATTTAAGAGCAATTCCAAGAAATCCTTTGAAGAAGAATTTGAGAAAAGAATCAAATTAGTACTTAAATCCTATTTAAATGGAAGGAATTTAAATCAGAGCATTAAATACTTGGGCAGTACCAGCTTTAGCTTACTCATTTGGAGTACTAAAATGGACTACAACTGATTTAGAAAGGCTAGATCGCTTTCTTAGGGTACAAATGGTGCTATCAAGGAAAAGATATCCAAAATCATCAGTGGCGAGATTATATCTTCCTGGGAACAAGGGAGGGCGTGGTCTCATAAGCCTCTTGAAGCTATGCCGGGAAGAAGAAAATAACCTTAGGGTTTACATCAGACGTCATACCTTTAGCATTCTCTCAACCATTGCATCACTAGATGCAAATTACACAGCTCTAAATCTACTAAATGCTGCGACCGCGAATATTGATGCAGGTTATGCTACATTAATAGATAAATGGAAAGATAAACCACTCCATGGGCGATTTTATCATTCACTGACAGGGATAGGAATAGACACTCAGGCATCGTTAACATGGCTTAAAAGCGGCAATATTTTTCCAGAAACCGAAGGATTCCTGCTGGCTATCCAAGAGCAGGTAATAGCCACAAG